TGTGAAAAAAAGATGATAAATATCTCTTAATAAAAAAAAAACACATTTTTTCGACACGCGACGTATATTTGATTTTCTGCGCAAATGTATTTATTCTGGTCTGCGAGATTACTGTCAGAAAAGATTTTAATCACAGAGCAGAAACCTTTCATGAAAATTCTTCTTCTATACACCATCCTTTTTTTTCAGATAGAGGTGTTCACAGCTCTCTACAAGTTCCTAACTTTTGTACTCTACGTAACTTTTAACCAGTTACCATCTCCCTTTGGTTTTGCTTTGCTTAACCAGTTACCATCTCCCTTTGGTTTTGCTTTGCTTTATTTCCAGTTACCATCTCCCTTTGGTTTTGCTTTTGCTTAACCAGTTACCATCTCCCTTTGGTTTTGCTTTGTCTTAACCAGTTACCATCTCCCTTTGGTTTTGCTTTGCTTAACCAGTTACCATCTCCCTTTGGTTTTGCTTTGTTAACCAGTTACCATCTCCTTTGGTTTTGCTTTGTTAACCAGTTACCATCTCCCTTTGGTTTTGCTTTTGCTAAGTTACCAGTTACCATCTCCTTTGGTTTTGCTTTGGAATAACCAGTTACCATCTCCTTTTGGTTTTTAAAGGATGAGGGCGCGTTTTTTACTTAACCAGTTACCATCTCCCTTTGGTTTTGCTTTGTCTTAACCAGTTACCATCTCCCAAGGTTTTTTGAACAGACCATTTACTCTCCCACCAGTTACCATCTCCCTTTGGTTTTGCTTTTGCTTAACCAGTTACCATCTCCCTTTGGTTTTGCTTTTTGTTAACCAGTTACCATCTCCCTTTGGTTTTGCTTTTGCAACCAGTTACCATCTCCCTTTGGTTTTGCTTTTTTTAACCAGTTACCATCTCCCTTTGGTTTTGCTTTGCTTAACCAGTTACCATCTCCCTTTGGTTTTGCTTTTAATAACCAGTTACCATCTCCCTTTGGTTTTGCTTTGCTTAACCAGTTACCATCTCCCTTTGGTTTTGCTTTGCTTAACCAGTTACCATCTCCTTTGGTTTTGCTTTTGTTAACCAGTTACCATCTCCCTTTGGTTTTGCTTTTGCTTAACCAGTTACCATCTCCCTTTGGTTTTGCTTTGCTTAACCAGTTACCATCTCCTTTGGTTTTGCTTTGTTAACCAGTTACCATCTCCCTTTGGTTTTGCTTTTTCTTGCAACCAGTTACCATCTCCCTTTGGTTTTGCTTTTGATTAACCAGTTACCATCTCCCTTTGGTTTTGCTTTTTTGCTTAACCAGTTACCATCTCCTTTGGTTTTGCTTTGCTTAACCAGTTACCATCTCCCTTTGGTTTTGCTTTGTTAACCAGTTACCATCTCCCTTTGGTTTTCTTTTGCTTAACCAGTTACCATCTCCCTTGGTTTTGCTTTTGCTAACCAGTTACCATCTCCCTTTGGTTTTGCTTTGCTTAACCAGTTACCATCTCCCTTTGGTTTTGCTTTTGCTTAACCAGTTACCATCTCCTTTGGTTTTGCTTTTGTTTAACCAGTTACCATCTCCCTTTGGTTTTGCTTTGCTTAACCAATTACCATCTCCCCTTGGTTTTGTCTTTTGACGGTAGTTACCATCTCCCTTTGGTTTTGCTTTTGCTTAACCAGTTACCATCTCCCTTTGGTTTTGCTTTTGCTTAACCAGTTACCATCTCCCTTTGGTTTTAAATTTGTTAACCAGTTACCATCTCCCTTTGGTTTTGCTTTGAGAAGCAACCAGTTACCATCTCCCTTTGGTTTTGCTTTGTTAACCAGTTACCATCTCCCTTTGGTTTTGCTTTTGCTTAACCAGTTACCATCTCCCTTTGGTTTTTGCTTTTATCTTCTCCTTAACCAGTTACCATCTCCCTTTGGTTTTGCTTTGCTTAACCAGTTACCATCTCCTTTGGTTTTTTATTTGCTTAACCAGTTACCATCTCCCTTTGGTTTTTGCTTTGCTTAACCAGTTACCATCTCCCTTTGGTTTTGCTTTTTGTTAACCAGTTACCATCTCCCTTTGGTTTTGCTTTTGTCAGACCAGTTTTACCATCTCCCTTTGGTTTTGCTTTGCTTAACCAGTTACCATCTCCATTTGGTTTTGCTTTTGCTTAACCAGTTACCATCTCCCTTTGGTTTTTTTGCTTTTAACCAGTTACCATCTCCCTTTGGTTTTGCTTTTGCTTAACCAGTTACCATCTCCCTTTGGTTTTGCTTTTGCTTAACCAGTTACCATCTCCCTTTGGTTTTGCTTTGCTTAACCAGTTACCATCTCCCTTTGGTTTTGCTTTTGTTTAACCAGTTACCATCTCCCTTTGGTTTTGCTTTGTTAACCAGTTACCATCTCCCTTTGGTTTTGCTTTTAACCAGTTACCATCTCCCTTTGGTTTTGCTTTGCTTAACCAGTTACCATCTCCCTTTGGTTTTGCTTTGCTTAACCAGTTACCATCTCCCTTTGGTTTTGCTTTGCTTAACCAGTTACCATCTCCCTTTGGTTTTGCTTTGCTTAACCAGTTACCATCTCCCTTTGGTTTTGCTTTTTTTGCTTAACCAGTTACCATCTCCCTTTGGTTTTTTGCTTTGCTTAACCAGTTACCATCTCCCTTTGGTTTTGCTTTGCTTAACCAGTTACCATCTCCCTTTGGTTTTGCTTTGTTAACCAGTTACCATCTCCCTTTGGTTTTGCTTTTGCTTAACCAGTTACCATCTCCCTTTGGTTTTGCTTTTGCTTAACCAGTTACCATCTCCCTTTGGTTTTGCTTTTTGCTTAACCAGTTACCATCTCCCTTTGGTTTTGCTTTTGTAACCAGTTATCATCCCTTTGGTTTTGCTTTTTAACTTAACCAGTTACCATCTCCCTTGGTTTTGCTTTTGCTTAACCAGTTACCATCTCCCTTTGGTTTTGCTTTGCTTAACCAGTTACCATCTCCCTTTGGTTTTGCTTTTGCTTAACCAGTTACCATCTCCCTTTGGTTTTTTGCTTTTGCTTAACCAGTTACCATCTCCCTTTGGTTTTGCTTTGCTTAACCAGTTACCATCTCCCTTTGGTTTTGCTTTGCTTAACCAGTTACCATCTCCCTTTGGTTTTGCTTTGCTTAACCAGTTACCATCTCCCTTTGGTTTTGCTTTGCTTAACCAGTTACCATCTCCCTTTGGTTTTGCTTTGCTATCCATTCCCCCAAACATGTTATCTGCTGTTCATATTTCACCATGTCTTGTGAGAGTTAATTTCTCTAGGCCCACTTCCTTCATAATGTGTCCCAGAAATTTCATGAAATCGGCCATTACCGCTCTCCACAACGTCCTGCCAACAGTTGCTCTAAGTCTATCCCTTTAAGCAAACTCTAACAGTGGGTTACTCAAAGTTTCTCGCTGCTGGGAGTGTTAATGTCCCCGAGCAATCTTTTCTCTTTATGTCCCCAGAAATTACAGATGTCTCTATAGGATTGCAAATATAAATTTTCTTATTGTTCCTACTTTCCCTAAAGTTTCCTTGTTTGAGAGAGAAGAGTATAGAAAGGGATAGATAGAAAAGATGCATCTGAAAGAAGAAAAACAAGAAAGAAAAAACGAATATGTTAGATACTGTTACGACAGAGAAAAACAGACTGAGATAGATAGATAGATAGATAGATAGATAGATAGATAGATAGATAGAAACTGAGAGAGAGATATAGATAGATATAAACTAAGATAGATAGATAGATAGATAGATAGATAGATAGATAGATAGATAGATAGATACTGATAGATAGATAGATATAAACAGACTGAGATAGATAGATAGATAGATAGATAGATAGATAGATAGATAGATAGATAGATGAGAGAGAGATATATATAGATAGATATAAACTGAGATAGATAGATGGATACTGAGAGATAGATAGATAGATAGATAGATAGATAGATAGATAGATAGATAGAAACAGAGAGAGAGATATATATGAGATAGATATAAACTGAGATAGATAGATAGATAGAAACTGAGATATATATATATATAGATAGATATAAACTGAGATAGATAGATAGATAGATAGATAGATAGATACTGAGAGATAGATAGATGATAGATAGATAGATAGATATAAACAGACTGAGATAGATAGATGGATAGATGGATAGATAGATAGATAGATAGATGGAGAGAAACAGAGATATATATATATATAGATAGATATAAACTGCGATAGTTAGATAGATAGAAACTGAGAGATATATATATATAGATAGATATAAACTGAGATAGATAGATAGATAGATAGATAGATAGATAGATAGATAGATACTGAGAGATAGATAGATAGATAGATAGATAGATAGATAGATAGATATATAGATATAAACAGACTGAGATAGATAGATAGATAGATAGATAGATAGATAGAAACTGAGAGAGAGATATATATAGATAGATATAAACTGAGATAGATAGATAGATAGATAGATACTGATAGATAGATAGATAGATAGATAGATAGATAGATAGATAGATATAAACAGACTGAGATAGATAGATAGATAGATAGATAGATAGATAGATAGATAGATAGAAACTGAGATATATATATATATAGATAGATATAAATTGAGATAGATAGATAGATACTGAGAGATAGATAGATAGATAGATAGATAGATAGATGAACAAAATTAGATAGATTGATGAACAGAATGAGATAGCTCAACAGAATGATATATATAGGTAGATAAACAAAATTAGATAGATAGAAAGATAGATGAACAAAAGTAGATAGATAGAATTTGACAGATGAACAAAATTAGATAGCTAGATAGATAAAATTAGATAGATAAATAGGTAAATAGATAGAATGTGATAGATGAAAAAAATTAGATAGATAGATAGACAGACAGACAAAATTCAATAGATTGATGAACTGAATGAGATGGCTCAACAGAATGAGATAGATAGATAGATAGATAGATAGATAGATAGATAGATACATGAACAAAAGTAGATAGATAGAATTTAAAAGAAAAAATTATATAGATAGATAGAAGAACAAAAGTAGATGGAATTTAAAAGAAAAAATTAGATAGATAGAGTTTGATAGATGAACAAAATTAGATAGATAGATAGATAGATAGATAGATAGATAGATAGATAGATAGATAGATAGATAAACAAAATTAGGTAGATCGACAGAATTTGATAGATGAACAAAATTAGCTAGCGATATAGACAGACATACACAATTAGTGATGAACAGAATGAGATAGATAGATAGATAGATAGATAGATAGATAGATAGATAGATAGATAGATGAAACCTGTCACCAGAACTTCTGAACATTTAACACTGCTTTATGCAAATATTAATGCAGACGTGTGTGCATGTGTGATGTGGTACATCTGACACTAATTACCATATCATTCATAGGCGACTCGGCCAAGTTTGATGGCACCAAATTCGAGCTGTGAGTTTCATGAATATATTTAAATGTTTAATACGTGACGCGACTTTCAAATCTCGTCGAGAAGTGGAAAAAATTCATATGTAACGGTTTTTGAAAAGAAAAAAAATTAAAGTATCTTTCTTATCTATTGAATTGAAAACTAAATCAAAATTTCTTTAAAGTATCTTTTCGTCAAAGAACGGTGGTTGGCACTTGCAACATGCCTCACGTCATTGGTGCGTTTTATTACTCACTTGCTGTTTAAGCCACATAATAAAGCAAAACTACTGCATGCTGATTTACTTGAATGACAAGCTGACACAAAATCATGTGACATCCCCAGCGGATATGGAAGTGTATGTATCAGCTATAACAACTTTAGTAAACGAAGGTGAACATAGAATATTTTGAGCTTGAGGTAGTGTAATGGTCCAATATCCTCGCACCACATTTATGGTCTAAGGTTAGAACCAAGGAAGAACAACACGAACACAAGAGTAGAATAACAAAGATATATTACAACAGAAATATAGTACAAGAAGTTGAAGGTGTTAGTAATGACTGTCTGGTTTAGAGTGAACTAATATTGTCTAGACCATTCATTGTATTTAATATCCCACCGACGAGGAATATATGTGGCACGAGGCCGAGATCAAAGTGGGTTTCTCCTAGCCCGTAGACTCGGCCAAAAATATGCCCTTTGAACCCGCCTAGATGGGTTCAGGGCCTGTCTACCTCCCCGGACGAAACCTTGCCCTTCGTCCGGGTTCCTCTCTGCCAAAGCAGAGAGTTTAACAGTCATGACCTGATGCTCGTTACACTATTCATTCATTATACCTCTTGAGAGGTGGAGCATTTATAGAGTCAGGAAGAGTTCATTATCGTTATAGGTAAGTTCCCATAACAGGTAGTTTCCCACAATACCTCAAATTTCTACAAAGACATTAACCAAAAAACTCGAGTTATGTTCACGATGCCCAACTATTTCAGAAATATGTAAGCTCTCAACTGAATGGGACCGTTTTTTACAGGTTTACAATGGCTTTGTGTCTTAGTGTGGACTATACTTCTTCAAAACTTGTAGACTGGCGCTACAGAATCACAAATTATTGTACCAAATAACAGAAACCACTTACTTTGAGTGTTTTCTACAGCAGCAACAATTAAATAGGATGCCACATGGAACTAGAAGAGAAAATGATGACAAAACGTAAATTGGGGTGTACAAGTTGACCGACTGTATAAGTCGACCGACCATATAAGTTGACCACAAGACTTTTAGCTCAAATTTCTGCGTTAGACCGATACCTACCGTATAGATCGTCCCAAAACATACGGTAGGCTATCAGTACTCCAAAACTTTCAGCCCCAGCCAGCATTGGGGGGGGGCTGAAAACTCCATTACAAAAGATTTTTTTACGCTTGAAAACACGACTTGTTACGGTAAGCAAGATATCGACTTTTCACATTACTTTACAAAAGAAAACCTCTATCTATACAGGAAGGAGCGGTAATATTGGATTTGAGAGACATATTTTCCTGAGAAATTGATTTTAATAGAAAGATTTTATATATTTCAAACGACAGGGGAACTGCATGAATGAAGACAGAATATTTCCGTATGAGGTTTGTTGGTTGATTTTCTTTGGTGTCATATCAACCTCAATGCGTTATTTAATACCCAAATCTAAATACCTTGGATAGAATCTTATGGTTTCAACTCAATATATTTTGATCGTAATTGTATGCATTCAAAAACAGATAATCTGTATTGTTGATCATTTTGCTATAAAATGTATGGCTGGTAATTCTACTACGAAATGTATTGTTGATATATCTTCATCTAAAATGTATTGCTGGTCATTTTGTTTTAAAATTGCATTTCTAGAAATTTTACTATAAATATAAATATATATATATATATATATATATATATATATATATATATATATATATATATATATATTGTTCGTAATCTTGTATATGTTGTATTTTTTATTATAATTTTTTTTTCATGGTGTTTTGTTTGTGTTTAGGTTTAACTATTTATCCATAGCTCGGAATCTAACAGGTGCTACCACTCCGGGTCAGGGTAAACGTGTGGACAACAGCAATTAAGAGGTGGTTCCACACTCCTCAAAACATTCAATCTCCATATTAGAGGGCTTGCTGCCGGATGTAGTTTATCGTCATACACATAATATTTCTTCCGAGGAAACGACTGATATTACCATATATAAGGACGGGTTCGTGATGGGTAGCGCGATGTGTTTGATTTTGGAGGCTCACAAGATAGGGTCAACATTAGATTTATACTGTACGTGTTCGAGCAGCGGTACTATAGCCATAGAATGTCGACTGAAGTGTCTAGGGGTGGAGAAGACGCAGCCCGTTCTGCATATATGTGAGACATCAGGTAGGAATGTAAGCATAATAGTAATGTATTTCCTCCTGGTGAGGGGAAAGTGCACGAAGAAGCAGCAAGCTGTGGACGGGGATCGAGATGTTGCAGGTTGTGCCGGGTGGAGAGGTTGTATTCGGGGACTGTTGAAAGTTATGGCTGCGTGAGAAGATTGAAGTCGTGTCTGGATGGGATGTATGTGATTTCTTTTAATTAAATGTTCACTCAATGCAAGGCCCAAGAGCTACTCAAGGTAGAGTATTATTAAATGAGTTTGGTTTGGCTTACCGCATATCAACATGAATGGATTATTTAATACCGACAAGATTTTTATTGCTGGTAATATATTTTAGCAAAAGTTTATTGCTCGTAATATTTTTTCTTTAAAAATGTATTGCTCGTAATATTTTTCCAAAAATGTATTATTGATAATAATGTATAGCTGATAATAATTTTTTCTTCAAAATTTCATTGCTGGTAATGATTTTTTACAAAAATGTATTGCTGGGATTAAAACGTATTTTTACATTTTCATAGTGCTTTGACACTAGTTTGGGTGTTAACTATTTTTCAATAGCTAGGACACTAACAGGTACTACCGCCCCGGGTTAGGGTAAACCTGTGAACATCAGCAATTAAAAGGTAGTTCCACGCTCGCAAGATTTCCTGATCTGAAGCCTTGGGGTTAGATGTAGTTTATCGTCTTACCCAAGACGCGGATGTACTTTATTGTCTTTTCCAAGACATGGATGTAATTTATCGTCTTTTCCAAGACATGGATGTAGTTTATCGTCTTACCCAAGACGTGGATGTAGTATATCGTCTTAACCAGAACGCAGGTATAGTTTATCGCCTTACCCAGGATATGGATGTAGTTTATCGTCTTTTCGAAGACATAGATGTAGTTTATCGTCTTACCCAGTACACGGATGTAGTCTATCGTCTTACCAAGAACGCTGGTGTAGTTTATCGTCTTATCCAGGACGTGGATGTAGTTCATTTTCTTACCCAAAACGCGGGTATAATTTATCGTCTTATCCAGGACGCGGGTCTAGTTTATCGTCTTACACAAGACGCGGATGCAGTTTATCGTCTTACCCAAGATGCTGATGTAGTTTATCGTCTTACCCAGGACGCGGGTTTTAGTTTATCGTCTTACCCAAGACGCGGATGTCGTTTATCGTCTTACCCAGGACGCGGATGTAATTTATCGTCTTCCTCAGTACGCTAAATGAGTTTGTTATATGGACAAGATGGGAAAGGGAGAATTAAGGGAAGATTTTTAAGGATATGTAAGATAGATAATTTTTGCCTAAAGACTTGAAGAGATCTAAATTGTAGTGTTCGGGGAAGCCTCTTTTCGAGAATCAGGTCCATAATGTAGAAGCTCTTGGTAAGAAACTATTGAATCTCCTCCTTAACAATGGCGTCCGGGGAATTTTCATTACGTTTGCTTCGATCCGTGCTAAGAAAGGAAATATATTGAATATATTTATATGGCATTAAAAAAAAGATGGGTAAAAAAGAAAAAGAAAAGAATGAATATGCAAATTTACCACAGACAATTGATTTTCACAAATTGATGTACACTGAGAATTCAAAGATTCGACGTGCACAAGCAGAAGATTCCACTGGGCGAAACTCGTATTGCATTTGCGCTAGACAATTGTCAGTATTTAATCTTTAATATTTATTTAATCTGAGTTTTAAATACTCTGTAATTTGATTATAATTATACAGAATTATTAATTAAACGTGTCAAAAATCTTTTGTATACAGTGGCTGGCTTATACTATCCTTATTAGTTGTTACAATTTGCACACAAACAACACCTGTGGTTTACATTGGATTACCGATAACATCAACAAATCACCCTACATATATAGAGAGATAGATAGCTAGGAACAGTGTGAAATAGAAATGGTTCATAGACATGAAAAGACTGATAAATATAGATAGATAGATAGATAGATAGATAGATAGATAGATAGATAGATAGATCATTTCTCCTTTTATAATTATCTACGGAATAATGTCTACCTCGATCTTCAATCATACCCAGTAGATTTTCAAAAGTACACAATACCTAATATATATATATATATATATATATATATATATATATGGATAGATAGATAGATAGATATATAGGTAGATATATTAAATATACATTTTTCTGTCACAAACATACACAATACACAATGCACACAATAATCGAGAAAAGATTGAAAAGATACACGAGGACATAAAAAAGAATATGAACATTTTTTATTACCCATCAAGCAAAGGGACATTTTTTGTCCAGTCCAAAATGGATTCCGATGACTACTACTCCGAACAAAAGAAAATGGTTAAAAGATTTAACATAGGAAGTAAAAATTCCTTTAAATAATATGTGGAAATAACCATTCTTCGCCTGATGATGATCGTAAGACCCGAAACTCGTACAGCAAAGTATATAGGATAAAGTATATGAGTGTGCGGTTTTTACTCCATTTTTTTTTCCTCGTTTTTCTCTTTAAAATATACATTTCTCCTTTATATATATATATATATATATATATATATATATATATATATATATATATATATATATATATATATAGGATTAATGTCACTCAACCGATTGTTTTTATTTTCAGCATCCCGACTCTAGGGTTGCGTAGACGTCCTCTTCAGCGGATATCAGCAATTTACTGCTTATATTTCTTCGATTTTGTCCTTTGACACATATTTAACACTGGTGTAAGTTTTCTTTTGTTAAATATGTGTAAAAAGAACAAATATAAGCAGTAAATTGCTAATAACCTCTGAAGATTTAATATTTAAGCTCTGGAGTCGGGAAAATGAGGATAACATCAATCACATAAGTGACAAAATTTTACTTATATTAATCCTATTATCTCTTTAATATCGAGCAAAGACTGCTTGCCTTAAATATCCCATTGACTGTCAGTATTTTTAGTTTCATACTATCTTTGACATCGCTAGATACATACATACATATATATATATATATATATATATATATATATATATATATATATATATATATATATTCAGATTGTTATCCTCATCTTCATTGTCAATTTCATAACCTTTCGACCGATGTACGCTCCGGAATTTCGAACCTAACCCTTTATACAGTGTTCTAGTTACACGTGACATGCCTCTTCCGGATGTCCCAGTTCTCTTTACCTCAACTCTCTAATTTCTTTGGTTCGTCACTGTTGTAGCCTAGTATTGAACCCACAACACTTTGAGTCTAGTCACTGGATCTAACCAACGTCTTTATCTACTTGAACACGTGTCCATGAGGCAATGAAGATGAGGATAACTGTCTAAATAATGTAAATAATCATAATATCTCACCTCATATATATATATATATATATATATATATATATATATATATATATATATATATATATATAAATTAAATAAAAACAGACCACTTTAAGTTTCCATGTAATAAATTATTTCACCACAGCCCTTTTAAAGGACTGAGGATTATTAGACTTTACTTCCAAAGTTTGAAACGAAAAATGAAAAGAAATTTACACATTTTTGATTGGCCGTATTAAGAATATGTAAATTAACGAAGTGAGGAAGTGAGAGGGGAGAGAAGACATGAGTTAGATGTAATTTAATATTTCTATTCTTTCATACTTAAAATTAAAAGTCCAGACATTGACACATTTAAACGGTTAACTTAACTTTTAAATCCAACATCCGCGGCCTGACGATTGCGTCTCGCATGAAACAACCTTTCGCCTCTTAATTTTCACTTATATATATATATATATATATATATATATATATATATATATATATATAATAAAAAATCGATCTACCGCGGTTTAATAAGACCGAGGTACTTCGCATTGGCTGAAATAGATCTATCCCCCCATATGAGGTAATTTTTAAAGTGTTTTTAGCAATTATACGTTTTTAAGAACGTCTCTTATTAAGTATTATTATATCAGGAACCTTTAAATATATCCTATGTGTTAAATCACTTATACATGACATGAATTATTCTTCTCTATGACATTGAAAGAGGGCGAAATTGTAGGAAAAGCATTTCGAGTGGTAATGTTTATTTTCTTTATCTTTGACTATTGGTTTACTATCGTCGATTTCTTTCCTTATCATTTATCATTCAAACGTTTTTAACATCATTTGCCGATAATTTTATTCTTTTATCCTTTTCTTATTTAATAACATTTTTTATGAACGAGTTCGTATTTACAAATTTGTAAGAAAAGCGTTTAGAGTCGTAACGTTATTTTGTTTTGTTTAATGTTTTTACTAGTGTTTCAGATAGTCAATTTTTTCCACATTCATTTATCTTTTAAATATTTTTAACAATAATAATAAATATTCTCATATATTTGATGATGATTTTATACTTTTTAAAATTATTTTCTTATTTTTTATTTACATTCTAAAGTAATAATAATAATAGTTACTATTTACTTCGACATCCATTGTAACATATATATATATATATATATGTGTGTGTGTGTGTGTGTGTGTGTGTGTATGTGTGTGTGTTTCTATGTGCCTACCTATCGTGATGGAGGGAGTTGTGTGGTCCAGTGACTTAGTGGCCAATGCGATAGAGAGTTCTAAACTCCTGGTAGATCCACCCTTGGCAGCAATGTCGAAGACGAAGACTAAGGCTAACCGTTACCAATCCCAAAGACCCCAACGACCGAACCAGCGGATGACCATTACAGCAGATCCCGACTCTTGACCCAACCGATGAAGAGGGCTACGCATGACGGACATATTACAGAAGGCGCCACTCGAACGTATAACTGTCATTGGCAGTCCGTTGCATGTTTCAATTCCATATGTGGGGGAGCGCAGAGGAAGGTTATGAAATCAAGTCTGTGGATCACTTCCTGGCAAGCTGAGATCCACCTTGAACAAATTCACGCTATCAGAGCTTACTTCACCTCTAACCAGCTGTTCAAAACCAAACAGCGATAGGGAATTGATGAAAGGAGCCGGATTGGTGAAACTGGAATCTTCTAGTCCTGAACCTGCATATTGGCGGCGAATTTATTCATCAACGATATCATCATAAAGAAAGCGATCAGCAAAGAAGAAATTAAATCACTTGATTCCAGGTAAGGCCGACGACGATAAGTGGTCAATTATAAGTATTTTAAAGATATCGATAGACATTGCATTTGAATTTTTGAAGATCAAAATTGACCTGAAAACAAGAGGCCAAGCGTTCTTTTCGTTATATTTTCTTTCTAGCGACATTTTTCTACGGTGCAGTCATGCTAACCATTGTTTTATGGTCGACCTCATAATAAAAGTGTGCACGAAACATGAAATTATATTTCAGAAAAGTTTTGTAAATAACTCGGTTATAATTTAAAATTATCGATTATTTTTCAGTCTGAAATCTTAAACGTATTTTCGCAAAATGACATTTAAAAAAAAATAAGTTAGGAAATGAATATTCCGTTCAAATTCCACTTATTTTTATTCGTTTCGACTATGTTTTCTGGTAAATGTATATATAAAATTCTGTGACTTCCGTTTGTCCGTCACACTCTCTAAAATAGTCACAAATTTAACAATCAAAACCAAATTTTGGGGAGAAGAGCGAATAAGTCAGAGAAAACGAAGTACAGTTTGTTTTACTAGCGTACGTAGCTTAGTACATGTTATACTAGGACATACCTATTCTATTGTAAATAGACTCTCCCACAGATAATAAGTAGTAGTAGTAGGAGTCGCCAGGGGACTCAGTGAGTTGGTGAGTCAGTCGATGTCGGACATTAAAGTATCAACCACCACAACTAGATTGCTGCGTCATTAACTATTATTTCAAGTTCCTAACGTTTTGTACGTCGAACCTTTTTAGGACCGACTTAGTGAAATACAAGCCTCCACTGTGAAAACTACTCTACAACAGTACAATAGATTTGCATTAGTTTTTGTTTTTTTTCCAAAAAAATTAAATAAAAAAAAAAACGATTGGTTTGCGAAATTGAACGAAACGTAAAGTTTGTAAATCTCGACAAAAATATTAGTGATAATTTCGACAATACTAAATATTGTGAGAATTTCAACAAGCATGAGCGTGTTGCAAAAGATTCTGTTATAGAAATCTGTTCAACTGAAGACATTTTGTATTTCATATTTGTAGGGCTTGAATCTGTGCCATAATAGAAAAGAAACTGAGACAAATATCATTTCTAAACATGGAGACACGTAACAAAGAAAAGAAAAATTTTGATTTCAAGAAATTTCCCATAGAAGATTCGTTTTACAAAATCCAACAGAAAAATCGGTCCAATAGATTTATCGTGAATCTAGATTTCAAGACGCCAGTGTGAAATAGTCAAATGATGTCTATCCATGGTAGTACTATGATATCACCCTCTGCCACTTCTGTTCGGCAGGGTTAAAAGATGGATAAATGAACGACAGTTGACGAAATATAGTAGATGGGAATTTAAAACCGTGTTTGCTCTAAAGGGAAATGTAGATTCAGATAGATATCAAGGTTCAAGTACCTGGAAGTATTTTCTTTTTCACATAAGTACGTTGACTGCTAACAGGTGGTGTCAAGCTCACACCGAGAATTTTTATGATACAGTGGATTCCTGCTCGATAGGTTAGGACATCAACTTAATCAAGAGGAATCTAAATTACCTTCTTCCGATTTTGAAATGACCAGTAGTTTTATGACAACCAACAGTAAGATTAAGATGCGAAAGGGTCAAAGCAACCAGCCACTGTCCAGCGAAAAGTAAATAAAATAAATGAAGAGATAAAAACATTCGAGACCAAATGAGACTCAGCTGGAAGGTAGGGTATCTCGGTCATTGGCTTATGTATTCCTTTCACGTTCTAATCAGACCTAGATTCGCAATTACAGTAAGAATGGAGGCAGATTCGGAAGGAGACAAAATTTTCTTTGGTCAAAAGATCTGGTATGTCGGTCGAGCGTGAGAGGTGATATTAATTGCAGC